GGATTTTTCAATGAGTGGGCGTGGCCTGCAGCGCCCAATGGGAGGGCGCGGCCGGGAATTCAAACTGACAGGTGGGAGCGTGGCCGTTGGCGCCGGACCGGGACCGGAACCGGGACCGGGACCGGGATCGGAACCGGGATTGGGACCGGGATCGGGATCGGAACCGGGACCGGGACAGGATCGGGACCGGATCGGGACCGCGGTCCCACCCGCCATGTCCGCCACCGGCTGCACCTTCGAGGACCGGTGTGTGAGCGTGCTGTGCTGCCGGTTCTGCCGGCAGGTGCTGAGCTGGCGGGGCATGCAGGCCGTGCTGCTGGCGGACACCGACACCCACCTCTACTCCACCGACATCCCGCCCTCGGGGTAAGCGCTGGGAACGGGGAAAGGGCGGATCCCACGGGGGACGGGTCCTGTCAGCCCCGGCGGTTCTCAGCATCACTCCAGAACCCGGTGTCACCGGGAGAGCAGCCCCGCAGAACGCGGCTCACCCCATCCCTGCACCCCCAGCCCCGGGGAACCCCCAAAAAGCGAGGATGTGCCGTCCAGGGCAGATCCCAGCTCCCATTTAATCCATCAAATCGGGGTGACACAGGCTGGGCAGCCACGGGGAGCTCCTCCCGCTGCTTTCCGAAGCCAAGATTAGAATTTGAAATAAAGACCCGCAAACAGAACAAACCTGATCTGTCACTGCTGCCAGGGCTCTCCCGCAGCTCGGTCAGAGCTGCTTTCCCAGAGCCAGATTTGAATAGTAAGGAAATCAGGTTGTGAAATGACATGGTAATCAGAAAGTATGGCTTGGAGAGGAGATAAGGAATCAAAGGTTTGGGCTTAAACATCCCAGCCTCTGAGATATGGTTCTGTTCCTGAGCTGGGCTGATGTCCCTAATCAGGGCTCTGACAGTGCCACACTGAGCCTGAGATTCTCTGAGTACCAAGGCAAGCTCTGCTTTTTTGGGCTGCTTTAGGGGGATTTTTGGTGCTTGTGCAATGTCACGTGGCTCTTATTAAAGTTTCCATATGAGCAGGGCTGAGAGTCAAAAGGAAAACAGAACCGGGAGGTTTAAACCACCCAGGAGCAGCAGCAGCATCGCTCTGCTGGGACTTCAGCCCAGCGAGGCTGTGACCAGCACAGCCCTAAAACTTCTGCTCATTTCCTTCCTCCAGAACCGTGGATTTCATCGGGAGCTGCTACTTCACGGAAATCTGCAAGTGCAAGCTGAAGAACATCGCCTGTTTGAAGTGGTGAGCACTGACGTGTCCCAGCCCCGTGTCCCCTCCTCGCTGTCACCTCCAGCAGCTCAGGAGGGAGGGATGGAGGAACAGATTGTGTTCCCTGGTGCACATTTCGTGCTGCTGGGGACAAACTCAGCCCCTCTGCCCCTGGACAAGGCTGCCCAGGGTATTTCTGTGCGAGTCCCCGCTGGAAATGTGACGATGCTGTCGGGTGGATGAGTCTCCTGAAGGCTTGTGAGCCACCTGCCCCGTGAAATGTCTGCCTCAACACTGAGATATCTCCGTGAATAAAGCCCCAGCAAGAAGCAATTACTCATATTCTAATTAATAGAACATCCTCTTGGCAGATCGGGTTGTTGGGAGCAGATGGAACACGCTGTCGCTCGAAGTTCTCCGAGTTCTTTTATCCTCCTTATTAATGCCTGATATTTAAGGGTGAAAACAACAACTCTCAGATAGCTCACAGTTATCTGAGAGAATTCTTTCAGCTCCCTAATCAAGATTTTGACCTTTCTCGGATTTGAACAGTGCTGGGGGGAGGTTTGTGATAGGGACACAATATATTGGTTTATAGACAGAAGCAGAGATATCTCATCAGAGCACATGAAAATGGATAAATGGTTATCATGGTTTCAGTCGGGGAGAGTTGATAAGGGTCAATAACCTGGCCCAGAGAAGCTGTGACTGCCCCTTCCCCATCCCTAAAGTGTCCAAGGCCAGGTTGGAGCACCCTGGGACAGTGGAAGATGTCCCTGCCCGTGGCAGGAGGTGGAACTGGATGAGATTTAAGGTCCTTTCCAACCCAAACCATTCCATAATTCTCAGTTTCATCCCTGGTGCTGCTGGTACCCTCCTGTGCACGGTGTTTGTGTACAGGTGGATTTTAAGCGTGAGGAACTCCTTTGCTGGTTGGAATCACCGGCCTCCCAAAGGAAAACAAATAAAGAAATCCACCAGCATTTTGTTGGTATGTAAACTAACCTGGCTTACACAATTTAGGTTACTAAACGCTTCCCTGTGTGCCAAAGATCTAAAACTCAGATATTCTGCAACTCCCAACAGATGTTCCCTAAATATTTCAGATACTTGTTTAACCCTGTTCCCTCAGCTCTGTCAGGTTACATAATGCTCTGGCATTGAGGCTCTTTAACTGGAGCTGGAAAAAGCCACCAGGATCCCCCTTTTCCCCAGGCTCACTCCTTCCCTTGCCTTTTTCAGCGGGAACACCGTTGGCTACCACGTGATTTGTCCCTGCAAGCCCTGCCTGCTGTCCTGCAACAACGGCCACCTCTGGATATTCCACAGCCAGGCCGTGTTTGGCATCAACAGGCTCGACCCTTCTGGTGAGGAACACCTTGGTTTGCTTCCCTTTCCCCTAAAATCCCAACTCCCCACCTGCTGGAGTCTGGGATACAGAGTGTGTGCCCTTGTTTCTAATGCTTAGTTCCAGGATTCGAGGAAACGCTGAATTTCATATAATGGGAAATTCATGAGCATGCATGAGAACAAATGTTAAAGTTAGATTGGAAAAGTGTAAGTGTGTAAATTAGGAAGTTTCTTAAATCACTGGGTGAAAAAGTAGTTTAGAGAGCAGGAGACAAGATGAGGATTTAGGGTGTTGTCTCTTGTCCTTCTTCTTTCTTCTTCATGTTCTTCTCCTAGAGGTTTTTGGGTGGTAGTGAGTGATTGGATAGAGAATGCCACAGTGCAGCACACAGGTGTGGGGTCATTGGGTCAGTAAGAAAAATAACTTAGTTAGCACCTGTTAATTGAGTAAATGGACATAAAAAAGCCCTTGAAGAGGATCTTTGTTGGCCATTTTACCCCTTTTCTATCATAGTGCACACAGCTCCTTGTACCTTGTAATGCTGATAAGAAAAAAAATAAACAACTGAGACCCAACAAGAGAAAACTGCCTCCCTCTCGTCAATCTTCAGTTCAAAGGGAAAAAGAACCCAAATCCAAAAGTCCTTAATGAGGCACCCACCCTGACCAGGCTCCACATGGCCAAAGCCACAAAGATGGGGCAGCGGTGAATGAAATCCCTGACCTGCAAAACCACTCCTGGGGGAGGCAGTGAATGAAGATTTCAGTGTGAATGGCCCTCCACGCACATAAATCAGGATTTTCTGCAGCAGGGCCACCACCAGTATAAACACAGGTTTATTTATAGTGGTGGGGATGGCTTCACTGGGCTGCCAGGCAGCTGTCCAGGGGCATCTCTTTATTTTGGGTGAGTCACGTCGTCACTTTGACCCTCCCTGAGCCCTCCTCAGCTGGAATTGCAGCTCCTGCATCCTGGTGGGAGGGATGCCAAGTGTCTGGCAGGGTTGGATCCTCAGGAATGCAGAAATCACCAGGGAAACTCCCTGCCCAAACCTTGCAGTGCCACCTGTGCCTCGGATCGATGCTGTTCACAAATAAATCGTTCAGGAGGAGGGGTTATCAACCTGAATCAGTTATATAAATGTTTCTGTGGGCAGGGGTTTATCCTCTGAATTGGGCTGGGAAAAAAAATAAAAATAAACAGCAAGACTCCCAAGATCACTTTGAAGTGAGATAGAAAATAGATTTATTCGTCACGAACGTGACTCCCTGGGTTTTGCAGGGATTATTTTCTCTCAAAATAGACAGTTGTGCAACTTAAAAATAAGGTCAGAATCCAAAAATAGCTCTTTTTTTTTCCCCCCCCTCATTTGTCTCTTTCCCACCAGGTGTGAATGTATTGCTGTGGGGCGAGCTGCCAGATTTGGAGGAGAGCACAGAAGAAGACACATCCTGCACCTCTGAGGAGGAGTACATCAGATAAACGTGAGCTGCAGGATCTTCCCTCTGCTGGTTTGCATTGCATTCATTTCATTTTACCTGATGGACCATCAGAGCTTTAAAAAACAGGAAATCTTGGGGGAAAAAAATATCAAAAAAATCCAAAAAAATTTGAATTCTTCTTGCTCTTTCCCTGGACTCCTGAATCTGCCTGGCATGCACTCCCTGAGCAGAGATACACCTTGGAAATACAAAATCCATTTCCTGAGCTCTATTTTGCTTTTTATTCTTAACCCTCTCCAGCTGATAACCCTTTTCTTCTTCCCTAAAGCACTTTTCACAAAGCAAAAACCTCTCAGCTGCTTTCAGTCCCCCCCAAAAAAAAAAACCCTTCAGGAATAATCAGCCAGCTCAGGGGAGTTCTGGAAGAACTCAGCTCTGTGCTCAGCAGTGGCTCAAAGTTTTGCTGTTCTTTGGAGCTTCTGGAGCACCTGAGGCTCCCTGGATGCACTGGGAAGCCTCTTAGAGCCTTTTCATTTTTATTTTTTTAATATTTTCAGCATTCTGTCTTTCCACAGAGATCAAGTTCATGATTTTTTATTCCCCCATAAAACCAAAATTCTGCAGTTCTTTAGTAAAACTTCAAGGCTAGGCTGGAGTTTTTCTTCAGGGCAGCAATAAAACCCATCCATTTTCATATATATATATATATTCTCCAAAACAAAACTCAAAACTCAGTCATGAAATTGGATTTTTTTTAAAGCAAAAAGAATAAAAGAGATCAGGTTAAATATTTGGTGCTCATTCCTAATTTCCCATCCTGAGGTGCACAGACAATCTGGTTCCTGTAGGTAACAAATTCAAAGCTCATTTTCTGAGCTGTTAACGAACCATGATGTTTAATTTCTGAACTGAAATTAATTATTAATTTAATTTCTGAACTGAAATTAATTACTGTCCCCTTCAGCTACTCACCTGAAGGCCACCAATACCAAAATTCCAGGTAAAATTCATATAAAAGAACACAGGACACTTAAATTTGGATTGATGCTGAATAAATCACTCTGCAGCCTCTTGTGATGCTTGAAAGGGGTGGAATGAAGACAGATCTGAATTGTCTCAGTGTTTTTACTCATTATATATTTCTTAATTAATGGTACTACCTCTTCTGCACTGTTTAAATGTATATTGGTGTATATTTGTATGTGTGAGTCTTGTTTTGAGTTCCTGTGTTGTGTCTGCCCAGGAAATAAAAAGCTTTGGACTCTGGAGTCATCAATCTGGATATATCAGATAATCAAAACAATGAAATAGCATCTTGGATTAAAAGAGTAGAATAATTAGAGTTTTAGTGTTATGGATTTTGTTTTGGACAACCCAAAAATCAAATCACTTTTATTGTGAGAAATAAAATGTCAGAATAAAATATAAATATAAATATAAATATAAATATAAATATAAATATAAATATAAATATCAGATAAATAAACCTGGCAGTTTCTCAGTCTCAGTTAACCCTTCCATAACCAAATATCCCAATTCTTGCCAGGTTTCTGTGATCAAGCTGCCAAGGTGACACCTCAAACATTTATTTATTTTGGTTTTTTTTTCTCCCCAGCAGAATCCACGAGCTAAAAATACATCAGATTGTTTTTGCATAAAGCAACACAATAATTCAAACCTAACTGTGCTTGCTGCCACTCCAGCACTTGTTGTTTGTAACCTTCACCCTTCTGAGTCAGCAGAGCTCCTCTCCCACAGGGAGGCAGAGGATGAATTCCTCCCCATCAAGTCCATAATTCTGTTTTAGTCCATAATTCTGTTTTAGTCCATAATTCTGTTTTAGTCCATAAATCTGTTTTAGTCCATAAATCTGTTTTAGTCCATAATTCTGTTTTTTTGCTCCCCATCTGTCCACACAGAACTGGGAGTTCCACCACGAACTGGCTCCAACAGGCCTGTGCAATTAAAACACCTCATCATGACATTACATCAAATTAACAATGAAGAAGATTTAAAGGAGCTCAGTCCTTTCTTGGTGACAATAAAGAAATTGTATTTATTATGTACAAAACATGCAAACATCCCCTATTGCCCCAGCTGTCATGAACGTCACCAAGGTAATCACTCATGTCCAGGGCTGCTCCTTTCTCTGAAATTAAAACAAAAAGAACTGAGCAGTTTGTGTTAAAGCCACAGCAGCTCGCTCACAGAGCCCCAAAGTTTGGGGCTGAGTTGCCAAGGATCATCACAGAGCCCCAAAATTTGGGGCTGAGTTTCCAAGGATCATCACAGAGCCCCAAAATTTGGGGCTGAGTTTCCAAGGATCATCACAGAGCCCCAAAATTTGGGGCTGAGTTTCCAAGGATCATCACAGAGCCCCAAAATTTGAGTTTCCAAGGATCACCATGGTTATAGACAGATTTAACCCCAAAGTGGCACAAAACCACATCAATATTTTTATAAACTCTCCCAGGTCCTTCACTCTACCCAAAGCTGTGCTTGGAATAAACAGCTCAGGTCTCTGCTTTGTTTTTTCTCTGGTTTTTGACACATAAAAGCACTGGAATCACTTGGAGGGGGCGACTGGAAATAAAACCACAGCAGGACAGGTGATGGATGGATCCAGGATGGATCTCCCAGCAGTGACAGATCCGTGCTCAGGCTGATCCAGGAGGAGCTGGGTGGGTGTTGTTCCTCTTGGAACAATGGGATTTGATTTCCAGCAATCTTGGAAATGGGATTTGATCTCTGCTGTGCAGCCCCTGAATCACAAAAAAAACCCAAGAACCGCATCCTAAGGCCTTTCCTTCTGCTCATCAAGGCACAGAGCAATTAAAGTGTCTCTAATCAGATGTGCTTTGTTTAGGAGGGACTCAACACCAGGGAAAAGGTCCCAGATTTTGGACTCCAAGTCAGGGTTTCTGCAGGGCTCTGGAGTCTGCTGTGATGGGCCAGCCCAGCTGAACCTCCTGGGCCACCCCAGGGCTCAGCCCAGCAGGATTTCACAGCTTGTGCAACACAGGCTTGTAGGCTCAGGGTCACAGACTTGTTTGGATGGAAACTCCTGGAGCTGGAAATCCAAAAGGCGCTGATGATCTCTAAGTTTAATTTGATTTTTGAGTCATGGGGAGCTGTGTGATCGCTCTGTGATTGATTTTTTTCCCTTGATCAAATTCAAATTTCAAAATTTTTTATTGATATTATTGATATAATTATTATTGATATAATAAAATTATTGATATTTTTATTGAGCCAACCATTTTCCAGGAGCAGGGGAAGGTCAGAGCACTGATACCCCTCCATATTAAACAAAACAGGGAGAAAAAGAACTTTTAAATCTTCTTCTTTATTCCAGCACAGCCTAAAGCCTCATCCCAACCTCACATTCCTGTTCCAGCATCCATCCTAGAGGCTTTACAAACAGGAATTCTCCTGGCCCTGGGCTGCAGAGCGGCTGCCAAGCACAGAGAGTGGCCAGTGCTCCAGCCTGGGATGGAGCTCAGCATCTCTGTGGGCACAAACTGATCCCAGGCTCTGCTGGAGAACCTCTCTCTCTTCTCCCCCAGCAGGTGACAGAAGTGTCCCCACTCCTGGGACACGACCTGCAGTGCCAGGCTGTGGATCTGAGCAAGAGACACAAATCACTGAGCTACCTTTGATCTTCTGCTCCTCTGCCTGGCCTGCCACGCTTTGGAGAGAGAATTTGGAAATGGGAATTTACTCTAAAGCACCCAAGCTTGATTTCATCAGGTTTGTGATGCGAGGCTGCTGCTGCTGGGTGGTTTCTGGAAGCAGCCTGTGCACTGAGTAAACAACCTTGGTGTGCTGATATTTGGATTTTGGGAGCGTCCCCGGGCCAGCACAGCCACGGTGCTGTTGTGCAAGGAGCTGTGAGCACTTGGAGGCTGGAGAAAACCAGGCAGCCAAGGAGGAAAGGCAGCAGGGACTGCTGGAGATCAGAGGTGAAGCCTCGAGAGGAGACTCCTGAGCTCCAGCACCACAAGGGACAACGGGGCCGTGCTGGTTCCTGCAGCTGAGGGTCCCTTCTCCCTGTTCCAACAGGAATTTCTGGGAGAAGTCAGCTCTTCCAGCACACAGACCCACACAAAGGTTTGGAAAGGACCCTGAAGATCACCTCAAGCTCAAACCAGCTCATACCTAAATCAAGGATCCTTGTGTTTGCCAGCGCTTTTGGATCTCCACTGCATCACTGGTTCTTCTCTTGCTCCAGTACACACAAAGCAAAATATCCATTTAAAAGCTACAAAAAAGCACCCCAGGTTATCCCAAAGCTGTGCAGGTGCAGGATGTGCAGAGCTGAGCTGTGATTTCAGTTCATGCAGGACACAGGAGCAGCAGGAGGGCGAAGCTGCCCTCGGCACCTCAGCTGGAATTAACTCCAAAATTCCATCAGGAATTCCATGAGGAAACATCAAGCACGCTGCTCTGCCCAGGAGCAGCAGCATTTCCAGAATGAAAATCTGGATAAAGAATTTCCTCTTTATCCAGAGGGACATCCCAGCTGCCTGCAGCCTCTCCTGTCACCTCTCCAGGGTGACACCAGCTCAGCCCAGGGAGCAGCACTATGGATTCCTCATTGGAGAGCAGGAATCACATCCTGGACACCAACAAAGCAGGGTTACAATAAAAAATAATACAACAATAAAAAAAAAAAAAAATAAAAAAACCCAAAAAACCCAGAAGTGAAGAAAGCTGCCCAAATAGAAACCAACCCAGATCTCTGGTGCTTCACTTCTGATGCCACCTGGGCTCTGCTCGGGGTGATGCCACACGAGGAACCGAGCACTGCCCTGGCACCTGCAGCGTGGGCACAGCTTCGTGCAGCCTCACAGAAAACCAGCCTGAGGGAAAAAACCTCCTGATCCCTTGCATTTCTCTGCCTGCTCTCCTTTCCTGGAGGGAAGTGCTAATTAAAACGGAGCCAGCATCGCTGGGATCCCTCCCTGCTGTGCCACGGCAGAAGCTGATGAGTTCATCCCTCTCCAGCACACTGCCTGCTTTGGAAGGGGAAATTTCCACTGCAACAGGAGCTAACAGCAGAAATGCAGCTGTGCTGGGGCTCTCACCCCGTTTTCCCCAAAGAAAAGCTGGTTTTGGTGGTGCTGACAGCTCCTGGCAGGCAGGCCGGGTAATAGGAGTTAAATTTGGAAGAGGTTCACCTGGTTTTGTCTCATCATCTGCCTTGCTCTCAGAGCCAAGCCCCAGTGACAGGCTGGCCAGGCAGCAGAGGGGTTTGGGGACCAAAGCTCAGGGGGACAAAGCTCCCACCCCTTTTGTCAGCACCTTTCAGCAGAGCTGTTCCTTCAGCAGGCGTTCGTTTCGTTTGGAGAAGCGCAGATTTCACTCCGAGGCCAGCCAGGCTCCGACAGGAACGAGTCTGCTCTGTGATTCCTGCTGTGCTTGCAGAACTCACCCAGAAAGCTCCTCCTGGCAAGGGAAGAGCGAGGAGCTTGTGTGCCACAAGCTGAGCGCTGCCAGCCCTGCTTGGCCACGCCAAAACCAGAAAAAAACACCCAAAACCACCTGGAGACAGCAGAGATGGGATCAATTCCCAAACCAGGGCTAAGGATGCGCCTTCAAACCTCACATATTCCAACAAAAGTGCGTGTCCAGCTACTCCACCAAGCACAGACCCCAGGCCCTTTCAATGGTTAAAATTTTAAATCTTTAGAGCTTTGAGCAATTCATTGATTCTTTGCAGGTGGGCACAGAGCACTGGATGGTTTTGGACCCCCAGAGCACCAAATCTGCAATAATTTTTCTCCCCCGAAGCTGAGAATGATTTGGTTAAAAGCACAGATGGAACAGAGCAGTCCCAGCTGAGGGGAGGTTGTGAAAGCTCCTGCAGGTTCAATCTCACATCCCCTCGTGGCTGATGAGAGCCCAAAATGTTGGGAAAAAAATTAAGCAATCAGCGATTGTGCAAAGCCCACCGCAAGACTTTCCACCATGTTGCTCCATTCTTTCTTGGACCCCGGGATGGATGTGGATTTTTTACTCTGTAAAGTGGATTTTCCCCTGCTTCAAATTTTACCCAGAGTCCAAATTGCTTTCTTTGTAGCTGAGAATTTAAAATTCAGATGAATAGGGTTTTTTTTTTTCCCCTCTCTCCTGCTACCAGAAGGCAGCGTTCCTAAGTGTCAGGAAGTCTTTATTCAGCAGAATATGTCCAATTTTTTAATTCCAGTCCTTATGGGAAATCAAAATTTAAAAACTGCTTAAAAGCAGCTGGCACCGTCCTTGATAAGAACCCTTTTTACTTTACGAACTGGATGGAATTTTGGGTTGATACAAACATGAATTGCTGCTCTCCTTTGCACC